TTAAGAGAAAATAATCTCAGTGACTAAAAATGTCTTATAATATACGATTTTAATTATTTTTTTTTTGATTTTGTCAAAATGACCAACTAAATCGCAATGCGATCGATAATTCGCAACGCGAACTTCGACTATCGCAACGAATTTGGAAAATCGTAATGCGAACTTCGACTATCGCAACGCGAACTTAGACTATCGCAATGCGATTTACATATTCGCATTGCGATAGTCCAAGTTCGCGTTGCGATAGTCTAAGTTCGCGTTGCGATTTTCCAAATTAGTTGAGATAGTCGAAGTTTGCGTTGCGATTTATTCCAAATTCGTTGCGATAGTCGAAGTTCGCGTTGCGATTTTCCAAATTCGTTGCGATAGTCGAAGTTCGTGTTGCGATTTATTCCAAATTCGTTACGATAGTCCAAAATCGCAACGACTGGTGGTATTGCATTTGTTTCTTAAGAATTTTCTCTAAAAAGATAGTATTCGCGCGGACGTGTAGAAGACACGTATTACCACGACCACGACCACGACCTGAGACGAGACGAGACGAGACGAACGGCGACGGCGGCGGCGCGCGATAGTCTCCCTTGTTCTCTATCACTCAACAAAGAAGTGGGAAAGCCAAGCCTTAAATACCATTCCCAATTGTGTTTCCAATACTATGTGAGATTGAATATTACCAACACTTGTTTCCAATACAATGTGATTATTCAGGAAACAATTAACAATCATGCACCTTAAAACAACTGAATCATCAACCAATTGCATTAGTATTATACGATTAAATATGTCATAACTAAAAGTCAATCTACAATCAATCGCGATTATTGCAATTTTAAGCAAAACATTCAAAAATAATATCACTATTTAAGGCTCAATTCCATATAGTATTGGGAACAAGTGTTGGTAATGCTCAATCCCACATAGTATTAGAAACACTATTGGGGATGATATTTAAGGCTTGGCTTTCCCACTTCCTTGTTGAGTGATAGAGAACAAGGGAGACTCTCGCGTGCCGCCGCCGCCGCCGTCCAGTCCCGTCCCGTCCCGGGTCGTGGTCGTGGTCGTGGTCGTGGTAATACGTGTCTTCGACACGTCTGCGCGAATACTATATCTTTAGAGAAAATTCTTAAGAAAAAAATGCAATACCACCAGTCGTTGCGATTTTGGACTATCGCAACGAATTTGAAATAAATCGCAACGTAAACTTTAACTATCGCAACGAATTTAAAAAATCGTACTTATCCTTCGAAGGTTCCTGCTTCTTTCCCTTCCCGTTTCATTCAACAGTCAAGACTCACATGGCAGCACGTGCAAAATAGTGTTATAAATGCCAACCTTAGCACGTGGCATTTAAGATATTTATAAGCACTACGCAAGAACCGACGATGAAAATTCCTTATTTTCCTTTAAAAAACTGAATTATTAAAAATATATAATTATTTATGATATAATGATAATTCATTTTAATTAAAAAAACATATATACTCGATTCAAATTCGAATTCTTAACAAATCAAAATAAGAAATTTGATTACTAGATTCGACTGCCTTAGCCATGACATCCAATTTAATGGGAGCTTGAAGAGGAGCCCAAATGATCCAATTAAAACGGGCTAATGGGAATAAGAAAGAATGAGTGAGGCCCATTTATTCTTGACATATAATGTCTAGCCCATGGATGATGTTTTCTAGCGTAGCTAAATTAAATACGGTGAGCATGATGGAGCGTGATAGTGATGATGGCTACCCCTGGGGTGCTTTTAATGCTGTAAGCAACGCAGGAAGAGTAGGGGTCATGATTTCCAAGGCTTTTTTATGGGCGCAGCAGGCACGCTACAAGTTGTTGGAAGGTATTTGCAGTAATGGAAGCTGTAGAGTTGGGTCATAATTGAAGGAGATCAGCAACAAGAATATTATCTTCTTCCAATATAGGGCCTATCTATATCTATCATGAGATTGACGAGACCACCTTCATTTAATGCAAAATCCATCCCCATCTCTCCTTGATTTGACTGGATTTTCAGTTTTTGTTTCTGGTTGCCACCCTTCACTGTCATTGAATGTTCGTTTTTGTTCCTGCTAGTTCTGGTTGGGATAACGGGATTGATAGTCTCATTGTTGCCCCCATGCAGTTTGAGCTCTTGCTCTTGTAGTTGTCCACCACCTTTCCGCTGCATCCTTCGACATGTGTAGCTGAGAGCCATCTTCCTCTGGTGCATCAAGCATGAGACGGGTTCCGGTGGTAGCCGATTGCTACTTGCTGGAAAGTAGAAAGTTTCTCTGATTGGCTGATCGCCCAATGGTATTTCCCTTCCTTGTGTGTTATTATTTTTTAGGTAAAGTATATAAATAATCATTCTACTATAGATTTTTTTTTTTTGAATTTCTCAATAATTAAGAAAAGAACAAATGCATTTGATTGGTTAGACTGAACAATTAAAAGACATTAAGAATTAAACACCTAACATTGCAGGTCTTGCTGGAGCAGATCCAGTGCCGAAGCAGGCGGTGAATCAAACACCACCTCTTGCATCGGATTCCCCCTAGTTAGAGCCATCCAAATAGTCCACCGCTGTATTGGATTACCGACCAATATGTCGAATAATCACCACGCAATCCCGTTGGAGTGACTCCGTAATCACAATAACCAACACATTATGTATTCCACTTGAATCCATGTTAGATAAGCAACTCGGGGGATGTTATTGTTTTAATAATTGCACAAGAAAAGTACAGAGACACATCCAACAATATGGCCTACTGCTAGCTGCTAACACCCAATTTGTCCCAAATATCCCATCAAAATATAATAACTAAAATTATATACACGAATCATAAGAATACGAATATATGAAAACATTTGAAATTGCCGTATCTCATCTCAGCCTTTGTTGTCTTGTCATCAGTCTTCTCCAATAAATTCATTTGTCCTCTAATAAATTCGAATTGGATTACGTCTATTTCTCTGCGCTAATCTGTCATTTTTGTCTTTGTCTTATGTCTCATTTGTGATACAAGTAATTAATTAAAAATATAAACATAATTTCATGAATTATTTCATAATTTGTCTTATGTCTTATTTTTAATTTGAAATACCTAAAAATAAAATAATAAACACCTATTTTAATTAAAAAAATTCAAATACCTAAAATAAAAAATAACTACAATTGTAACACTTTTAAGTTAAGCCTTTGGAAGCCATGAATGAATACACTATGACATGAGCCCATGTCACGGTATGTTATATGACCATAAACTCGCGACCTTCCAAATTTCATTTTACAAAATGCATTATTTTACTAATTCTATAAAAAAATATTCATAAAACTTCTATAAATTTCATTTTACAAAATGCATTGTTTTACTTTTAAATTTTGAAATTTAAAATCTTAATCTCAAAATTTTAAAACATAAAATTCAAAATTATTAATCTAAACATTTAAACATTGAATAATATTTTTGAATTTTAAATAAAAATAATACTTTTTTTTAGAAATAGATGTGCGGTTATATGAAATATTAGGGTAAATTATATTTTTATTATTTAATTTATTACTTTTGTTTCATTCTGATATATATCAAAATTTGGATATTTTTTAAATCGTACCTAATATTTATACATGTTATTAAAATTTTAAATGATGATGTTAACGTGTTAATATAAGATAATATCATATAATTATTGAAAAAAGTAAAATATATCAAGTCAGTGATTCGGTTAATGTTTTAATAATAGATACTAAAATTAAATTTAAAATAAACGTTAAATATAATATTTTTAAAATATAAAATTTAAGTATTAAATTAAAATAAATAATTTAGATATTAAATGTGTGGTTTAATTTATATATTTAAAATATGTAGAGTGAAGAGAAAGCTTAGAAATGGAGACGCATGCAAAAACCTCATCATTGTGTCCCCTCTATCCCACGCAATGCAACGCACAGGTCCCTCCTTTCCCTTATCTCTCACGCTTTTCATACTATCAAATTGGGATAAAGTCATTTCTAGTCCCTAAATTTATTTCTTCTTCTTTGCCACCGGGGGCTTCATCTTACAGCGTTGGCTTTACTGAATCCGACGGTACCAAATGAGAGATCCCATGCATGTCTCGTCTTAGATTCGAGCCTAAGATAATGTAAGAGTGTTTAAATTTTTATTATCAAATAATTAAAAAAATTTAAAACATATATAACTTTATAATCAATTTAAATTAATTAAAAAATTATCAATTAGGAATTATTTAGGAGAAGATGACTAATTTAGTGATCTTTTCGAAGAGAAAACCATCGAACAACAGCGACAGAAAACAATTGTCCAATAGAAACTAAAAGTTAGAAATTCAACTTTTAAAATAACCACAAATTAGAGAAATTATGTTTTTTTAACAAGACTCAACATTGATATTTATTAATGTTAAGTATGGTTCATAAATATACCAGTAAAGAGGACATGAGATGGAACGGAGTGAACGAAGCGAGGACGTAAGCACATTATCGAACCTCGTAAAATTCTCGTGTTCTTTTGTTTTCTTTACCCGTTTTTGTCAACAATTAACGAGAAGAAATAAAAATGAATTTTTAACGATTATAATACAAGTTAAAAATACAAGTTAAAAATTCGATGATTAAGATAAAACACCTTAATAATTCAATTATTATCTTTATTATAAAAATTAATATATAATCACATATATGATTTTTTATTTTTTAAATATCAAATAAGAAATCTCGTGCACCTACTAAAGTTATGTTTTTTTTACAATAGTTTATTTGAAGCAATGGAATGGGCAAAGACGGCATTTACTCCGAAAAATAAAACATTTAAAAAAATGCTCACTTTCTTCCGATTGGTCTGCACTCTATACAGTGAAGTGGAAGACTCTCTCTCTTCCCTTTCTCTGTTTGTATGTGGAGAAGCTAATGCTCAATAGTGAGCCGTATGAAAAATCCTTGCACATATAAGAACCAAAATTATAAAACTCATATAAGTTGAAATAACTAGAAAATGAAACTCTCGAAAGCAAACAAAAGCAGAAACCCATAGAAAAAGCAAAAACTGTCTCTCTGCCTGTTTTTTTGGTTTGTGAAATTCTCGTGGTGAAAAGTAAAGCTCTGGTTTCTGGTGATTGAATCCTGAGAAAGATAGAAACGATGTTTCAGAAGTTAGGGACGATTCGGGTCTTTTACGAAATGGAGAACGGCCAAACTATGTGGTTGAAGAGGGTTCTTTGGTGTTAAAGGAGGCGTCTTGGTGACTCAGAATCTGGCTGAGTGGAACTGGTAACTCGGTCCAAGAAGGAAGCCGTTTTATTTTGTCTTTTTAGTGTTTTGGAGGGGGGAAAATTGGTTGGTCGAATCAGATCAGTATTTTTATGTAATAGGAAGCTCTGATCTCGAAAGATATTACGAGATTTTTTTTTTTGGAGTTTGGGGTTGTCCTCAAAGAGTGCCAAAAAAAGCAAGGTCCAAGGTTTTCTCTGTCTCCAATCCGGATATCCTTTCCTTTGCCTGGGTTTTAATCCTTCTCTCTTCTCTTTCCTTAACATTTCACAAGCTAGCGTTAAAGTATCCAAATCTGCACTAATGATGAACACCTACTAGAATCCCTCCCCCCAAAAAAGAGAAGCATTTGTGTAATTGTGTCATCTTCATGTTCAAGCTATGGAGTAACTCAAAGAAGAGAGTGAGAGAAAGAGAGACCAACGAAAAAAAACCCTTCATTTTTCCTTGGTGGGTTTTTGTGAAATTTGTAAACTTTAGTTCGTTTTAGTACTTTTGTTCAGTTTCCTTAAAGTTTGAGGGTGAAGTTTGAAAGATGTCAATGTCCTGCAAGGATGGTAAACCTGGGTGCCTGGATAATGGGAAATATGTAAGGTACACACCTGAGCAGGTTGAGGCCCTTGAAAGGTTTTATCATGATTGCCCGAAGCCTAGTTCTATTCGTCGTCAGCAGTTGATTAGGGAGTGCCCTATCCTCTCCAATATCGAGCCTAAACAGATCAAAGTCTGGTTCCAAAACAGAAGGTTTGCATTTGGTTTTCTTAACTCTCTGTTTACTGCAATTTATTTGCCACAATGTAATTATATTTGTTATTTGATTTGTCAGATGTAGAGAGAAGCAGAGGAAAGAGGCATCACGCCTTCAAGCTGTAAATAGGAAGCTGACAGCAATGAACAAGCTTTTAATGGAGGAGAATGATAGGTTGCAGAAGCAAGTGTCACAGCTGGTGTTTGAAAATGGCTACTTTCGCCAACATACTCAGGATGTAAGGATTTTATGTTTTAGATTCTGGGTTTAGTTTTTCCTTGTGTTCTTTCCAGTTACTAGGAGATTTTGCAATTTTTTGTTTTTGGGGTTGTTTTTCTCTCACAGGCGACACTAGCGAGGAAAGATCCAAGCTGTGACTCCGTGGTGACGAGCGGTCAACACCACCACGTGACACCACAGCATCCTCCGAGAGATGCTAGTCCTGCAGGGTTAGTGGGGTTATGGTTGTTAGGTCCTTTTCATTTTCATCGTGCTTTGTGACCTCTTTGTTGTGTGTATTTGTGGGTTATTAAATTGATTGATGCTTTTGTATCCTTCTCCGTTTCAGGCTTTTGTCCATTGCAGAAGAGACTTTAGCAGAGTTTCTTTCAAAGGCCACTGGAACTGCTGTTGAGTGGGTCCAAATGCCTGGAATGAAGGTACCTCTTCTCTCTTTGTTGTTAAAAATTACTAATCTTAGGGGTAGAATTATAACCATAAATTGTTTTCATTAAGCTGCAACTTTTGACATTTGAACCCTTGTCATCATCTCTCTTTTTTTCCACTTGAACAGCCTGGTCCGGATTCCATAGGAATCGTTGCTATTTCTCATGGTTGCACTGGAGTGGCAGCACGTGTTTGCGGCCTTGTTGGTCTTGAACCTACAAGGGTAAGTCTACTTTGTCTTTGAAGCCTGGTACGGCTTCATTTTGATTGTTTGTATTTCAATGACTATGTCCTTTTCAGGTCGCCGAGCTCCTCAAGGATAGGCCTTCGTGGTTCCGTGATTGCCGAACCGTGGATGTTATAAATGTGTTGCCTACTGCCAACGGTGGAACCATCGAACTTCTATACATGCAGGTCTGTACACTTTAATGTGGTGTAATTGTCAAGACTTTTTTGGTGAAATTATTTTTTAGTGACCTCTTTGAATTTGCTGATGTTGTGTATAGTTGTATGCACCAACAACTTTGGCATCTGCTCGCGACTTCTGGTTGTTGCGCTATACTTCTGCTCTAGAAGATGGAAGTCTTGTGGTAAGTTGTTTGATAAATATTTGGTTTTTGGTTTGTCATCGGACCAAATATACTCTAACTACTATTTTTTGTGTATTAGACCTCCAAAGATGCATATGCACTTGTCTTTTAATTTCGTGAATTCTTTCCAACTTTTGTAATGCTTAGGTCTGTGAGAGGTCGCTTAAAAATACTCAAAATGGCCCTACCATGCCAACGATGCAGCATTTTGTGAGAGCTGAAATGTTCCCGAGTGGTTACCTTATACGACCTTGTGAGGGGGATGGTTCAATCATACACATTGTTGATCATATGGATTTGGAGGTACACCTGTTGTCGCATGCAAACTGTCTTGAATGTTTTTAAACTATATAACATGTATACTTATTTGGAGTGTTTATTATCAATCAGTCAAGGAGTGTGCCTGAGGTGTTACGCCCACTTTATGAATCATCAACAATTCTTGCTCAAAAGACCACAATAGCTGTATGATTTTTCTTCCATTTACGTGTTATGTGTTGCCGTCTTTTTTTACTATTATAGTTCTCATCACAAACGTACGATATTGTATAAAGGAAGCCTTTCCTACATAAAGTTCCTAGAATTGTAGCTTAAGAAAGGATGGAACCTAATTTGTGATTTTCTTTTAGGCTCTACGACAACTGAGGCAGATAGCTCAGGAAGTTTCACAATCTAATTCAACCGGTTGGGGTCGTCGACCAGCAGCCTTACGTGCAATTAGCCAAAGGTTAAGCAGGTTAGTTTCCAGGCACTTGTTGTCATCTGCTTTATTTATGCCTGCTAAAATTGATATGCTAATTTTTACAATTTGGTGGATGATTCCGTACAGGAGTTTTAATGAGGCTGTCAATGGTTTCACTGATGAAGGGTGGTCAATGATGGGAAATGATGGCATAGATGATATTACTATCCTTGTAAATTCATCTCCCGACAAGCTGATGACCCTCAACCTTTCCTACGCGAATGGATTTTCATCTGTCAGCAATGCGATCTTATGTGCCAAGGCATCAATGCTTTTACAGGTCAGGATGCTTTCATTTTTCAGTCTTGATGGTCCATGGCAGCTATTTTTGGAAGTGCATGACATGGTTTCAGAATTGTTCGTAGCTTAGGTTTTCTTGTGTTCGTGTTGTTGCTATGATAACATTATACTTACCGTTACATGATGTTATTCCAATTGTTAAATCTTGGCTAATCTTGTGTTTGGATAATTCAACTGGACTTAATTTCTTCAGCATGATTTTTTCTGAAAGATATTCTGCAACACCAGAGCAGTTGCAAACCATTCCATCATATGAGCAATCTTTACGTGGTTCATGAATTTTTTTCTGTTTCTCTTTTAGAACGTACCACCCGCAATTCTTCTCCGTTTTCTGCGGGAACACAGATCAGAATGGGCAGACACCAGCATTGATGCCTACTCAGCTGCAGCTATTAAAGTTGGTCCCTGTAGCTTGCCAGGGTCTCAAGTAGGAGGTTTCGGTGGTCAAGTCATACTTCCACTGGCACATACTATTGAGCATGAAGAGGTAAGTACAATGTTCTATAGTCCTTAAATGAAATGTGTGATATCATATTATTTGTATCAACTTTCTGTGTTTGTTAACGTACAAAATTTTTTAATTTTATGTTATTTTTAGTGCTTAGAGGTAATTAAGTTGGAGGGAATTGCACATTGTCCTGAAGATGCAATAATGCCAAGAGATGTTTTTCTCTTGCAAGTAAGCATTTTTATTTTTACTTTGTTCTCGTATAGTCATTCTGGTGTGCAAAAAAACTTTCATCACACTTGGTTTTTGGGTTGTCTTAATTTTCAGTTATATTTTTTATAGCTATGCAGTGGAATGGATGAAAATGCGGTGGGCACCTGTGCTGAGCTTATGTTTGCTCCCACCGATGCTTCTTTAGCTGATGATGCACCTCTTTTACCTTCTGGTTTTCGCATTATTCCTCTCGATTCCGGGAAGGTTGGCATTTTTGTGTTAATACAGGGTATTTTGTTAGTTTTCTGCTGCATTTTGTGTGTATTTTTTTTTATTTTTCAATGGAAACTGATGCAGGAAGCATCTAGTCCAAATCGCACACTTGACCTTGCGTCGGCTCTTGAGATTGGGCCAGCCGGAAATAAAGCATCTAATGAATACTCCGGTAATTCTGGCTGTGTGAGATCTGTGATGACCATAGCCTTTCAGTTTGCATTTGAGAGCCACATGCAAGAACAAGTAGCATCCATGGCCCGACAATATCTCCGCAGCATTATATCTTCAGTTCAGAGGGTTGCATTAGCTCTTTCTCCATCTAATTTGGGTTCACATACTGGTCTACGAACCCCACTGGGCACTCCTGAAGCACAGACACTTGCTCATTGGATCTGTCAGAGTTATAGGTACATCGGACCCACCTTCCTTTTGAGATGGATTTAGCATAATCTAAATACCAGAGCTGTCGATCTTCTATGATTTGTACTGATAGATTCGGGAATCTTACTTGTTGACTTTGGTGTCTACTCTTGCATTGTTGTATCCTTTACCATGTGTGCAGAATATGTTGCCTAGCTCAGATATTTGTTTTACATACAAATGTTACGATCCGTAGAATGATTTGTTGTCTATTCTTGCAGGGTCTACATGGGTGATGAGCTGCTGAAATCTATCAGTGAAGGGAGTGAATCCATCCTCAAGTCCTTGTGGCAGCACTCAGATGCTATCATGTGCTGCTCGCTAAAGGTCAGCATTGGGACTGAATTCACTTTGTCTTCCTCCATATTTTGTACCAATATATTTCTTATCATTTTGTAAAATGCTAATGCTAGCCTATGTTTAACTGATGGTTCTGCAGGCACTGCCTGTCTTCACCTTTGCGAACCAGGCTGGGCTGGACATGCTGGAGACGACTCTGGTTGCTCTGCAGGATATTAGCTTGGAGAAAATATTCGATGAACATGGGCGTAAAGCACTCTGCAATGAGTTCCCACAGATAATGCAACAGGTCTGCCATTTTATTCCGGTTTCAAACTATGGAAAAATACATTTTTCAAATACAATAACCAATGATTGTTTATCAAATGAATGATCTCTTTGTGGTGGTGGGTAGGGATTTGGTTGTCTGCAAGGCGGGATATGTATGTCGAGCATGGGAAGACCGATTTCATACGAGAGGGCAGTGGCATGGAAGGTGTTGAATGAAGAAGAGAATGCTCATTGCATCTGCTTTATGTTCATCAACTGGTCTTTTGTGTGAAAAACTTCTATTATAGACCAGAAACTGCTTAAGTATCATCCTTTGTTTTTGTTTTTCCTAATATTTTTTGTTCAACTTTAGCTGGTGAAAACCATGGATGGTATCTTACTGGAATCAGTTTGACAATGCGTGTATTAACAGTTTGATGTATTAATGGAATCCTCTGGTTGGAAATGGCTCAGTTTTCAACAGTGAGAGCCTTCATCTCCCTTAATTTCAGGTATATAACTGGAGCATCTACCATTCCTACCTTTGTTTTGAGGTCCTTTATTCTCCCAATGGCTAAAAGTTTTAGCCCTAAGGTTTTTCCGTTCCGGTCTCGTACCTTTCCTCAATATCTCCCTCATTGCTTCTGCCGTCAACAAAGCCTGGTAAGCCCTTCAGAACTTGTTGAACTTGGCACACCTATTCGTGTGTACCCAACGTTTCCTCTTGTCTCATTGTCATCCCCTCCACTTTTCTTGTCTTTCACCGCCTCCACTCATAGCCCACATCCGTTTACCCATGTATTTGTCCCGGTCTCGCTTGATGTACTCCGGTGTACTCTCTTCACTCATCCCGCAACACTCGCACTTTGCTTTTTCCACTTAAGATATGGGTGTTAGCTGTTCCTCATCCACTCCTGCCGCCGGTGCTGTTGTTTCTTTGTAATTCTCAAGCATGTCCTTGCTCAGAAAAGAGATATCCGATCCGTTCAATTTAGGCTGTAATTTGAGTCTCTTGGTGGCTTGGGGAAGTTGGTGGTTCTGGTGTATGTGCTAGTGATAGCCTCTGCATGCGGTGGCATGTTGAAGTTAGAGACAACCCCCCCCAACCAAGTTTTTAGATACTTGGATTTGGAAAGCAAGTGAGAATTGAGCGTAGTGGAACCTTAAATTGGTGGTGGATCTACATGCAGAGGAACCTCAAATGGTTCAATTGACATGAAACGTAACTTATCATGTGAAAATTTTAAAAAAATGAAATGTAACCTTAAATTATGTATTTTTTATGGTTATTCTTTAAAAGTGTTTTTTGGATGCTTTATTCTTGAAATTTAAATTGTTACTTCGTTTATCTTAATTTTTTTATAAAGGTATATAAATCATACATTTAGTCATTTAACCATTCTCACAGTTCCTTTTGTATATATTCTTTTCGTTGTAAATTTGGTTAATGAAAATGTACAAATATGAAACACTCCCATCGCCTCATTTTTGCATGCTGGTTGTTTGTATCGATGACTTTCTTGATTTTCTTTTATCTTCCTCACTTGGGCAGGAACTTGAACCCTCGGATTCTTCGTTGTAGTTCTGGTTTAGCAAAGACTGTGATTTCTTATGGCTCATGTGTCTTGAAAAGCGTTTCCTTCATAGATGCTGAGTTCTTCTCTTGAACAAGAACTTCCATAATTTGATCTACTACAATCATGACTTTCTCCGTTACTATTCATACTTCTACAGCTACTGCTACTGTGATCATCACCGTCACAATCCGATTAGTCGTCATCACTACACTCCTAGAGTTGCAGCTTAGATGAGATGGAGTGAGGAAGACTGGCAGAATTAGAAAGAAAACTCCAATGCACTGTAACCATAAGTTTCGATTGCCCTTGATTGCATAGGCATCTTGTCCGTTGAAGGGTCGAGCTTGTCTAGTCCAATATCAGACAGTTTGGGGTTTAATTGTTCATCCAACAAAACGTTCGAGGACTCGAGATCACGATATATGATGGGAGGATTGGTCTTATAATGCAAATAGCCTAGACCTTGAGTTACCCTCACTCTAATGGAGAGAAGTTTATACCAGGTAGATGGTCTTCTAAAGAACCCTCAGGCATGGATTCATAAACCAGCAGCCTTTGATCTCCATCGCCACAGTATCCAATGAGATTCACCACCTTAGGAAGTTGTAAGCGACAGAGTCTCGCAACCTCAGCAACAAAATCTTTGTTTCCTAGCACAGCATTCCTGTCAAGTTGTTTCAAACCAACCACCTATCTCCAAATTCCAACAAAGGGTGATTAGAAATAATGTTAATACTTAATCTTATATAAAAAAAAACTATTACTAGGTACATTGTTATTGGAAAAAAATAGAAACAAAGTTAGAATGTTGGGTGACTAAAATGAAATCGTGAGAACAGTTGAGTGACTAAATATGTAGTTTACCTTTATTTGTTTTTAATGGAGTTAACTGTTGGAGACAAATAAAGTAACGATCTAAACTTTAGGAGTACAACATCTATAAAAAAGTACTTTAGTGGATAATTCGATATAAATATATAGTTTAAAGGGCAATGGTGCATGTAAACCTTTAAAATTATACATCGTATGGATGGAATAAGAAAAAGGTTTTGAGAAAATAAAAACATGGATAAGATTTTTTTCTTTCCTTTATAATTGGGGCAGGAGTCAAATTAAGGATAAATGAGCATCAATACCACTTGAACATTTAATATAGTAAGGATATGGAATACTTAGAATTTCATCTTCATGTAGGTGTTGATGTTGTTGCTCTCCGACATTTCTGTAATCATTCTAAATATCGATGAACTTGATTTATCGACCTTTATCACTCTATCAGTTTAGATTCTTTTTAAATTTCTTTGACATTTGCGAAACTTCAATCCCAAACTTAGAAGAAGAAAACTTTGATATGCAATTCTCATTGTCCGATCACCGTGAAATCAAGATATATTACTGGTCTCCTCATTCTCCACCTCTCCATAGTTGGGATTTAGAAAAACATCCTCCGGTGTCAGAAAATTATAGAGAATTAAAGAGGCTAGGTTAAAATTTGAGAAGAAAAATTTCAATGATATTTTCATAAATCTAAAAGAAAATTTTGGGGTGTTTTCATAATTTTTAAAAGATAGATGTCCTATTACCATGCCGTTAAATGATTAACGATAAAATGACAAAACGAAATATTGTCAAAATTGAGTTATTAAATTAAAAGCTTTTAAATTTAGTGACCATATTTGCGTAATCTTTCATGGTATAATTATATTTAAAACAATTAATTCAATAATAATTATATTTAAAACAATTAATTCAATAATAATTATATTTAAAACGAATACCCAAGCTAAAAAGAAAAAGAAAAGTGGAGCAAGGCACAAAGAACTGGAAACAAGAGCAGCCTTACAAATATTAGTACGTCCAAGGAAGCTGCTTTCTGTACCCGGTTAAAGGAATTCTCGTACCTCAGTGACTCGAAAATATCTTTAATTTTCTGCTATTGAGAGAACTTATTCGGAAGAAGGATCTCGAATATACAACATTTCTCGAGAAGTCACGACTTATTGATACGATTACAGAAAGGCTCACGTGACTTATCAGAATTAAATTAACCGTCATATGATCGTATCCGCTGTGTCTGTTAAATCTACCGTTGACACGTACACTAACGAATCCCTATATAACCTCTCAAGCATGAGCAAGAGATATGATACGATCTTAACGAAACCATCTCAACTTATCTCCTATATGCTTTACCCCCTCATAGATTTAGAGGTCATCAACTTATGCCAACGACTGGTTCTCAACCGGCTGCAACTCTCTATCCAAACCAAAAAAGTAATTAAATTGTAAATAACCATCATGTCTATTTGATTCCATCAATAGTTATAATTCCTTTATTATAATCAATCTATTGTTGATTTTCAGTTAAAGTTTCACTTTGACTAATCCGGACCGTACACCTAGTTTTAGTGGATAAGTCTTCTAACAGGGTTCTATTGTAGTTCTATTTTTGATTATATATATTTTTAATTAGAGGATATTATCTAGTTTAATATAAGTACATACAAATCCATAAAACATTAAAAAACATAAAACATCCATGCATCCTAGGTGAAGCATTGTGAGGGGCAGTCTCTTGATACATCCATGCTTCTCATACCCTATATATACCCTCCTCCTCCCTCTCTCCCTTTAACCCAAACAAGTACCAATTTCTTCTCTCTTTCTCAAAGGTCACCCAAAAGAAAATTAGTTTAAGCTAAGCTTCAGAAAAATGGAGCAAAATCTGCTGGTGATTAGCAAAAGAGTGTGGAACATTGTGAGGGCAGTTCTCTTCATGATGAGAAAAGGATTTGTGTCCAAGAAAAAGTTGATGGTTGATCTCAACATGGTGCTCAAACGTGGCAAAATCGCCGGCGCCAAGGCCATCGGCAACCTCGTGTTCCACCACCACCATCGCCAGGTCTCACCTGCGGCTGTCACGGGGTACGAGTTCAGCTGCAGCAACACCCCCAACCATATCTTCCGTTTCAACCACAAGAAGAAGAGCAGTAACAACTGCTACCACCAGTTCTTCGCCTGCGTCCATGCGCCTCCTACTCACGACGACGACAACTTGGCGACCATGAACGCCGTTAAGGTTGTCTTGGAGATGCTTAACAACAACGACATGGAAGCTGTTGTTGCGGCTTCACCTATGTTGCCGGGTTCGGACAAACTCCATTGACGAGACAACTTAGGGTAACGGACTCTCCTTTTCCGTTAAGGGATGGGGATGAAGACAACAGCTACGTAGACAAAGCTGCCGAGGATTTCATAAACAGGTTCTACAAGGATTTGAAGCAGCAGAACAAGATACTGTCCGAGTTCTAAGTTAATGATTAGGTTTCCTTGTTAAAGTTTGACACAATGTAAAGTCGGGTTCAAATTGCGATTACATTTTCGATTGTATTGCGTTTATCACAATTGCAAAAATAATGTAATCGATTCCGCTAAGTTAAAGTCTTTTAAACTAACTTTATTTTGCTCCGAAATCACTTTTGCTTTTTATTATTGTTTTCTTCTTTTCAGTGTTTTATTAAAAAAAAGATTAATTATCATTCTAGTCCTTTAAGTATGTGTTTCTTTTAGGACAAATTCAACTACGGTGAGAATTGACTTCTTTAAAACAGTCGTAGGCAATAGAGGATGAACCATAATGATTCCTCTGTTATTAAGAACGTCGAGATTACTGATAGTCCCTTCGCAGGTATATGAGAGATACCTCTAAATGGGATATCTCTATTGAGATGACGATCACTGAGATGAATCTATAACTCTTAGTTTGAATCAATAAATGATGAATCGCGGAAGTCGTCATGATTTGATGCTTTCGTCTGCACAAATGGAGAC